TCAACGTGCCTTCGTTATCTTGCCAACACTGCAGATGGCATGCATTCTTGAAGGCACAAACTTGCTACGATTGTCTGCACCGGCTCTCATGCACCTTGGCGCGGGGGGCATTGAAAAGGCTGCATGTGACTTTGATGAACAGGCTCGCCTTAGATCATCGAATAGCTGCCGGGATGAACGAGTAACATCCTTGGTTTACGTTGATTTCATCTTCCACGGCAACAATTGCACGAACTCAGGACACAAAAGTCCAAGTGCAGAAAGGCTTCGGCTAAATGAGCCACAATTGGCATCTTCATGAGCTGATCCTGAGCCAGCAAAGGTCGGTCAAAGCATCGAGCAGGATGAACTTGTGCAACACAGCAGGCACAAGTGCATTTGAAGCGTCCATGGCTGCCAGCACTGCCAAAATGTTCTGGAGTGCTGAAGCTGGCAGCCGCGCACCACTTGGCTGAACGTGTGCCTCCACAACTATGTGCATCTTTACCATCACAGGATTCACACTCTGGCATTTCTGCGGCAACCTCAAACTTGAGCTATAGGCACCTGTTCGGCTGCATAAATGGCCCGAATGTTGTTCATCACGTACCTGACAGCTCTAGGCTCAAATGGAAGCCACTTGGCACCCTACAGCGAGCAGAACCCTCTTCCCAAAGCGTCCTGAGAGCTTCCATTTTACAACCTGAGGGAGGTACAAGCAAGTAAGTCCAAACTTCCTGCCTCCAGGTGAAAAGCGTGGAGAGAAATCCAGCCCCCCCGTGTTCCGGCTGAGCAGGGCATCCCTGCCATAGAAATCATTGAGCTGAGCTGAAAAGGATGGCGCGATACAAGAAAGACCTTGTAGATCAGCTGTGGTGTTTCTCTAAGTCCCACTCGGTCCATGGCATGTGATTGTCTTGAAACGACGAGGTTGCAAAGAGCCTCCTGCCGCTCATCAACTCCGAGATCGCACAAGCCAAGTGCTGGCAGTTGAGCTGCCCAAATTGCCGCCTGTCACCACGAATTGAACACATACTGCCGCATACTCTGCAAACTGGGTAGATAAGCGTGCAGCACGCGAGTAGTTGGAAAACCCTTGCCTGTGCAAATGGTACCGGCAGTATCGCCGGCGCACCATGGCTCAATTGAAAATCTGGCGACATGCCGGCGCTGTGGCACAAGTCCTTTGGTCCCCACCCTCGCTGCCAGAGCTTTCTTATCCGCACTCACTCCTGCCACGCAAACACACATATATATATATATAGATAGATAAACACGCAAGCAAAATCAAAGCCAAACTGTGTAGCATGGTTCAGATTGACTCGCTGATGCTGATGCGTGCTTCAAGGTGTGTGCGTGCGCGCTTGAAATGGGTCCTTCCAATTGCCCGAACATGCTGATGCAAGCCGATCTGCAGCCCACGCAAACCACAACAACGATTGATGCAAATGCCACGCGTGCAGCACCAGTTTCCACTCACAGGAAACGAAACACATCTGGCGCTCTCAGTGGTGACATGCCTGCACGTCAGGCAAATTCAAAATGGTTTCCACTACGCCCGTATGGCAAGTATGCTTGTGGTTGGGAGGTTAAAAATGACCAGGGCAAAGGCAGCTGCACGCATAGCCTCCGAGGACGCACTGACACAAGGCACCTCGCCTATTGCCACAGCCACCTCGGCACAGCGGCAAATAAGCCCCGTTGCCACTCAACCACGTGACTGTTGGATGACTCCCAGCTCAGATTGCCAAGCAACCGGAAGCAGTGGAAGCATGGATCCCTGAGCTGGAGCGTTTGCTTCACTGACTGTCCAAAAGCAACCTCCGGCCTCACCAGGTGGCGTCGGAAAGTCCGTCCTGGTTGTTGCACCTGGGTCGGTGGTCAGTCAAAACCCTTAGCAAAGGGCTACCGGCTACTTCGCACAACGGCCGAATCACGACGACTAAATGTTCAGTGAGGTGCTTTGGACAGACTCCACCTCTTCTATGTCAATAGGCCCTTCTTCCTCCAGTGTGTCTGCCGGACCTACAAATGCTCACCAGCACAACTCAAGAGTGAACCTGACCGCCAACCTCTGTCTGTAAGCGGGTCCAAGTACCTCGACCATGACGGACATGTCAAACTGCCACTCTACAATCTTTGGTGACTTTGAACAACACTTAGGCTACGACTGCCGCGCTTCCTCCGATCTTGCTCCAGCATCAGCCAATGGCCGGCCATCCAGATTTTCCTGTACGTGCATGCATGCAATCTCCCCCAGAGAGGGGGACGTCTAAATCACTGCGTTTTCCCTGGTTTGAACCTAAAACATAACCAATACTTACAGTTGCCCGATTTCATGAAATATCGCATTTCGGGGGGCCCGGTGGATCTGCGTGCAAAGGAAAATGATCACAAGGTCGGAGTAGGGAGGCCAACAATATTGAACTTTTCGAGTGCCTGCTAACATGCATTTTCTCCCTCATCCCCTCACCCGTCAAGAAAACGCTTGTTGGCGGAAGCTGCAGTTTGTATGTGTCCC